ATTAATTTTATTTTTATTATTTGTTTATTACAGAGTTTAGGGAGAAAAAATCCATTGCTACAGGAAGTGAAAGTTAAAGTGGATTTGTTTTTAAAGGAGAACTGCTTTTGTATGGTTCAAGATGACAAGATAAATATTTTATTTTTATCAAGAACAGAAGACAAAATGACTCAAAGACAGTTGATTTTTAAGTGTGACGGCAGTGTTACCTTTAAAGTGCATTGTGTTCCATTTCCTATAAATGATCACATGAAAACAGTCCTACCAGCCAAATGCCTAGACTCTCAGAGTATTAATTATTTTGTGGATAGAATAGCACAAGTAGTGAATGTTGTTAGACAGTTTGAAATTTGTATTGGGGTCCCTGATCAGGAATATGTTTCTATTTGGCCTGAATGTAAAAGAGGAGAGATAGATAAAAACCCTTACAAAGAGCTACGTTATTCACAAACAATTAGATCCTTAGAGTGCAGTAGACTTGTCCGTTGTCCTAAGTGGAAATGTTCTGCATGTGTTGAATTAGGGAGATGTGTGAAACGTAAAGCTGAGATGGCAGCAAAGGAAGATGTACATCCTTCAACCAGAAATGATGCTCTAACTGAACAGCAAAAATTAGATAAACTGGAAAAGCAGCGCAAGCAAATTTCTAATGCTAGAAGACAGGTTGCAAGATTAAGAGCTAGAGAGCTTATTAAAAAGGAAGGGGTGACTATTGATGAGAAGATGTCTACTGATTTTGCAGCAGCCTTGCAGTATCTTGTAAGTCAACAGAAATTAACAGAATTACAGAAACTTTTTATTGATCAGCAGATAATGGCAGCAACAGCTAAAGGACCCACTGGCAGAAGATGGCATCCTTGCATGATACGGTTTGCCCTTAGTATCTACATGAGAGCACCAAATGCTCTGGGTGCTATGATCAATAGTGGAATGCTGTTTCTACCTGGAAAAAGGACTTTGTTTGACTACAAACATTTTAAACCTGTGGAGGAGGGGGTGGACTATGTTGCAATTGAGTCTGTAAGTAAACTAATAGAGTCACTGCCTAAGTACCAAAAGTATCACGTATTAATGTGCGATGAAATGCATATTAGTCAAAATTTAGTTTTTAATAAGACCACTGGAAAAGTTATTGGATATGTTAATATAAGTGATGTAGAAGTTGAGTTGGAAGCATTGCAAAAATACATGGAGAATGAAAACCAAAATGATAAATCAAAACCACCACCTTTGGCATCAAAAGTATTAACTTTCCTTATTAAAGGTATTGCCAACAGTGTGAAGAGAGCTGTAGCATCATATGCTGTTCACAATCTATCTAAAGAACAATTATAAAGATGGTCCTGGGAGGTAATAGGTAAACTTGAAAGGGCAGGTATAGCTGTTATTTGTCTTACCATGGATGGTTGCTCTATCAATAGAGCTTTCATAAAAATGCATAAGCCTGTAACAAAAGACTCTGATGTCATTTTTGACACAATTAATAAGGCTGCACCTGAGAGGGTTTTATATTTTATTGCTGATGTGCCTCACTTAGTGAAAACTATAAGAAATTCTTTTGCATCATCATCTGAAAGAAGATATTACAGCAAGAAAACAGGCAAGATGATGTTAAGAAGACGTTTAGAAAAAAATGGTGAGAAAATTTTATGGTCCTCCATTGTTGATCTTTACCATCACCAGCGCAACAAGGCATTAAGATTGACTTACAAATTAAATGCACAGCACGTATTTCTCAATGGCTTTTCTAAAATGAAAGTGAAGTATGCTGCACAGGTGATGAGTCGGTCAGTTGCTCACCATTTAGAAGAATGGAAGGGAGAAAGTAAAAAGGAAACGGTAGAATTTATTAGAAGAGTCAATGATTTTTTCGACATGCTAAATGGAGCTCACACAGAGCAAGCAGGCCGAACACTTAATCATAATTTACAAGCTTACTGCTCTGAACATGATGAGAGATTTCAGAAACTGGAAGATTTTGTGAGTTATTTGGATGAATGGAGAGTGGATGCAGAGAGTTCAGCTAAAAACAATAACAGTAGAAATATTTCTCAAGTGCAAAATAATGATGGTGACAGTTTTGATTTGGAAGAAGAAGAGGAGAGAGAAGAGGAGCCAGACCCTGCCAGTGTCAGACAACTTACCCGCCAGACAATTGAAGGAATAAAAATGACAGTAAGAAGTTTCACTAAAGCTGTTAAGTTCTTACTCAGTGAGGGAACAAAATTTATTAACGCCAGAATTTTTTGCCAAGATCCACTGGAACAATTTTTCAGTAAGCAGCGTGCTAGAGGTGGTGGTAGCACAACCCCAAATTTTAGTCAAGTAATAAATCAATCAAGAGGAATTGCTTTATTAGGAGAGATGGGATCCAAGAGAAACTATGTTGGCAACACAGAAGAACTTGACAGCTCTATGGAATTAAGCTCAGAACCATTGCCAAAAAGAAGAAGTCTTGGGAGATCTTCAAAACCATAATTTTAAATTTAATGTGCTGAATGCTGGGAAGGGTGTTTTTAATAAAAGGTTTTAAGCTGTTGTTGCTCTTTGGAAATAAAAATGTTTATTTTTTAAGAAAATGTAAATAAAAATTTAGGAACAGAAATAGTTAAATCTTAATTATTATTACATGGCAGTAAGTTCTAATTTATCACAATAACATGAGTAGAACTAATTAAATGGCACATAAATGTAGAATCTACGTTACATTTACCACATGGCAATTACTACAAATACAAACTCTATCGAGGAGCAGCCCTAAGTCGAGTAGGCATGGAAACAGTGACTTTATTATTATTTGCATCATTCATTCTTCTTTGAATCACTCCTTTTCCATAAGTAGAGATAAAGCTCTTCACAACACCAGTCATTAATGAAAAAGACAAATCTTGATCCAGACATGAACCAACAATGTTGTCCCAATCATATTTTGCTGCTCCACCTGCTATTTTCTTTTGGATTTCTTCTATAGGAAGACTTCCAGTCCTCTTATCTTCATATGATGCCACTACTTCAGCAACAGATAAAAAAAATCTCTGTGCACTTCCTCTAATAAACAGTAGTCCCCCTCGATTTTGACCTTCAGTCCAATTTCTGTCTTTTTTCTCTTGCTCTGTTAATTCTTCAGGAAGTTTATCTTCTAAAATTTTTGACTGGATGGCCTCCTGAATATTTCTCCACTTTTTGCTACCAGGGTACTTGTAACTAAACCTCTTGAAGCCATTACATATGGAGCCAGCTACATATAATATGCACTGTCTTTCCTCTGTATCAAAATTAATAGTTGGTATATCCTGGTCCGTTGCTTCTCTTAAAGATCTACATATGAAAATCAGAAGTTCATCAGCAAATGTGTGGACAAACTCACACCAGAATGTACTTATAATAAGATTAGGTGTATTTGGACATATTTCTTCTAGCTCTGAGTATAATTTATTTCTTGTTTCTTCATCAGATAATACATCCTCTATAACTTTTTGGGATGTATTCAGAAGAGAGGATGGCATACAAAAATATTCTTTAGAAATAACCAGCTTGAAGTGTCCACACAAAAATTTCACTAAATTTATCCAGGCAGCATCACTTTCCTTCTCTTTAAGTTGAGCAAGTAAGGAGGAGTAAGCCTCTGCGTAGCAGCCGACAGAAGGTTTGCTTGCCATTTGATGAAGCACTTTTCCCCCAATGTTATGGGCACTTTCTAACAATGTTTCCATGTCGAGTGGAGCCCTAAATGCAATTTCTGTAAGATAGGAAAGGAAAAGTTGTCAATTGGCAAGCCATGGACTTCCTAAACACACAACAAATAATGGATACAAATATTTACCTTTCAGAACATGTCCCTGCATATGTTTCTTGTAGTACCACATAAGTCTGTATTCTTTTCCACATATATTACAGGTTGCAACAACTGGCCCTTGCTGTACTGGCTTTGGTCTTTTAAAAGGAGAGACAGCCTTGTGTGCTCTCTCTTTCCTTGCCTTTGAAGGAGTCGAGGTAGGAGTTGATGTCAATATGGCAGAATTCACACTGAGGTTCATGAAAACAGAAAGATTTGCGGACAAATCCAAACTATTTTCTGGAGGGTTTTGATCCGCCATCTGGGAAAGAAGAGGTTAAATATGAAGCACAACAAGTTCACAACATCGAGCGACAAGTGCACAAATAGTGTTCTTTTTTCCAGAAAGACTAATAAACGCGACAATGTCATTGCAGGTGTACGATGCGCACATAAAGATACAGTTTATAAGTTAAACGCACCTTGAAGTTTGAACATACACTAATCTTATTCCCACAAGTTTGCTTCGTTCGACAAATACACACACACACACCGTCTCGCTCTGTTGTTGTCCGCGGGGCGGGTGCGGGGTGGAGGTGGTGCGGTGTGGTGGGGGAGCCGCCGCGGCGCGGAGACAGAGAGCCCTGCGGCCGGCTGGCGAACTACCGCCGCCGCCACGCCGCGACAGTGGCGCGCGGTGACTTTGGCGGGTGGCGGAGGGGCCCCCGTCGCGCGGGGGCCAAAGCCGATCGGATATGGCCATTCCTTGGTCCCTCACCTTTCATTTGAGCCCTCACACGACTCGATAAGTGAAAAAGGGCCGGAGCTGTAGGAACGAACTCGCGGCAAGGTAGGGCATTCGGGCGCTACAGTTACCAGTCCAGTCACAGTTCTTGTCCATGCCATTGCTGGTGCGTCGCCGACATCTAACGTGATCACCAACAAAATGACTTGTGCCCTGTGCGTGCAGTTAGTCAAAACTTTAATACCTCGCAAAGTTTCTACTTTGAACACTCGGTGTCCCCCACCTTCCCATCATTCTACTCGGCCCTGGGTCGTGACCACATTGTGGCCCTGCAGACTGACCGTCATTAGTTCTTTGCGTTCATGGCGTGACGACTAATGGGCGCCTCTAGGATTAGAACAACACGTTGGCCGACGTTGGCCAACCGTGTGGGTGGCTGAAGCTACGTACAACGACTAAAACGATAATAGGACAGTGAGGTTAGACCCGTCCGTCCGGCAGTGCGAAACAGCTGATTTCAAAATGAGATTTGAGTTTGAAGATTTTCTGCCAAAAGCTCAAACTAATGCATTTTGAAATCCTTAAAAATTGCACTATAAAGTCCACAAGTCGTTTTAGCCCGAATCGTGAAAAGAAAATTCATATATATATAATTTCTGTCCGCGTCGCGAAAAATTCAAAACCGAGACTACGTGCATATAGGAGTGTGATTCGAAAAATCCAGTATTTTTGACGTACGGGCATTGGTTTAGGAGAAAAAAAATACTTTGTTGAAATATCTTATAGCCACCATAAATACGATTAGGAAGTGAGATGAATAACAGGGAAACGTCCGAAAGGTCCCCCCTGAATATTTTATTATTTTTTAAATACTTTTTGAATAAAATATTTAAAAATAATAAAATTCAAAAAAGTATTCTGGAGGGCCGAGAAATTTTTCATA